CGCAGCTCATCACAGGGCTGGCGGCCGCGTATTTTTATCCTCCTGTTGTGGAAACGGCACCGGGCAGCGGTGCCGCCGCCCTCCCCGCCCCCAATGCTGCAGAGCAGCGTCCTACGGCTTCGACCCAGCGCTGGGGCGAAAAAAAATATACATTGAATTCCCTGAATTTTGGACGATTCCCCGAGCTGCAAAGCCCCAGAGCCCCGCGCCGCTCCCAAGGGCGAGCGCCGGCTCCGAGAATTATTAATAACAGGCATATTCCCCCAGCAAGGTCGCGCACGACCCGCGGGGAGTCGCGGTATTTTAAACGCCAGGAAAAGTCATGGAAAAATTTAAATCCCGACCCTAAGGCTCATCTGCAGATCAGCATCGTCCACCCAAGGAAGGACGGAGCCCTGCAGGTGCCTTCCAGAGGCAGTGTCTGCCGGCAGCCGCAGAGCTCACACGATATTCCCGTCGGAAAGGCTGGGCGGCTGCTCAGCCTTTACCGGGGCGTCGAGGTTCCAGACAAAGCCACCGAAAAAATAATTATTTAAAAAAAAAAAAACAACAAAAAAACCTCACCACCCTACTGGGGTAATGCTTTGAAATAAGACTCGGCGCTTTGAAGCGTCACACCAGCAGCAGGCACGGTCTCGCTGGCCCCGGGGGGAGCGAGGGTGGCGTGACGGGGTGACGGCGTGACGGGGCGACGGCGTGACGTGGGTGTGCGAGGCGGGCTCGGCGGACGGGATTTCCTGGCGCTGGGTGCCCGGGCGCCGTGCCCCGACAGCGCAGCACGCCTTGCAGGTGCGATAACACCCTCCCCTCCCGTCCCAGCCAGGGCTTTGGGGGGAAAAAAGACGGAAAATAGAGACCGGAGGAAGAGCACGGACGCCTGAACACCCGGGATCAGGTGCAGAGCCGGATCTCCCCACCCTTCCCTAAAGGAGCGAGCGGAGCGAAACTGCAGCACGGCGGAGCGTGCTTCCCACCCGGCATCACCCAGACCGGCCGGGAGTTTCACTCCTGGCGAGTCCAGCCCGAGCCGGCCGGGTTTGCAGCTGCACCCTGCGCACAGGCAGCTCGCAGCAATGGCATCTAACGCAGGGCTGTATTTTAAGTCAGAAATAAGCAGGCCTCTGGAACAGAGCAGCATTATCGGTCTCTCGCCACTCAAATCTGCGGCATTTCTCTCTCAAATCGGACCCCGGTTTCTCTATACCGTGCTTGAAAGGCTCCCCAGGCCCAACGCCCTCGGCCGAGAACACCAGAGTTGGGGCAGGACAGGGAAGTATTGCACGGGCTGCGCCTGACCTTGTGCGAGGCATTTCATTAAATTCTTCCCCGTTCCCAAGACAGGGAATTACCTCTCTCAATTATCAGGGAAGAAACTCAATGTGGGAACATTCGCCTCGTGTTCTGCAACCCCCCGACCGAAGCTCCTCTTGTTGACACCTCCAAGGTCGCCGGCTGCAAACCCAGAGCGGGGTTTTCACCCTCGATCCCGCAGCCCAAACGCCTCCGGAGTCCGGAGATCCCCGCGGGCAGGTGAAGGCTGCCTGCAGGTACAGCCGAGGCACCATCCACGCTTCCTACGGCAGCATCCTGCTGCTCATCCGTCAATACCAGACCCAAAACAATCATCACCTTTGTCTCTCCGGCGTGCACGCGTTCACACCGCTTTCCTCACTCGATTCCCTGCCTGCTGCTGCGCCGAAGCCACATGACAAAAGCCCCAGGCATCCGCGACAGCTGCCTGCAAAGCTGCCCACCCCTCGCTGCAGGGGACGGGGTGGCAGCAGTCGAATTCGGCTCTCCCCATGCCCAGGCGCCTCAGCAGCTCGTCCGAGAGACAATTTATGAGACGCAAGAGCGACGCTGGAAGGACCCGATGCTGCAAATCAGCACTAATGTCCCCCACGCCACGGCCAGGGAGACGCTGAACATGCCGTGACAAAGAGAGCGGTGCCAAAAAGGAAAAAGAGCAGCAGCTCCCGGGGACCGGCATTGCATCACAGCCTCCAAAAGGTTGTGCTCAGACAGAAAAAATAAACCGCTTTCCAGTTCACCTCTCCCCACCCGACTGTGATGAAAACCAAGCAATAAACATCGCCACTGGATGAACTCCAGAGCCAAGTAACCCAACCACCCGCTCGACACCTGGGATGAGGCTGTTACCCAATGCCCCTGTTTATTTCCCAGCCTCGTTTTATCGGTTTCACAACACAAAGCTACGCGCACAGGTTGGAATGCTGACCCCAACCCTTTCCCCCTCCTTTCACTATTACTTTCAGACCAAGAATAAAACAAACAAAAAGAGAAAACCACCCCGCGCATACACCTGGAGCCCTCTGCAATTCAGTATTACGCCATTCCCAAGTGGGGACCCGCTTTTCCCAAGTGCTAAACACACACAACATACAGAGTACCGCTCGCCCGGATGGACACCAGAGGGCAAGAGCCCCCCAGGGTCTCCCTTTCCCCCCCCACCTCAGGCAAAAGAAGGTCCTGCCTACCTCTTTGGTCAGGTCTCCATTCACCGGGGCAGCCACTGCTCCCAAATCTTCCAGTTCTTCCCCAAAGCCCTGCTCCGCTCCGCTCTCCCTCACCCCATTGTCGGGACTGCTCCCATCCTGCAGGCCACTGCCGTTCTCTAGGGCGATGCCGGCGCTGGGCTGGCTACCAGACACGGAGCCTTCGGGGTCTCTGTGCACCAACCAGGCGTTGACTTCGGTGGTGGGCACCTGAAACCTGTCCAGGGCCCTCACCTGGTTGAGCAGCCTGCGAGCGGTGAAGTAATAGTCCAGGTCTACGCTTTTTGGGTGGATGCCATATCCGTCCAAGGTGTTACGCAGGTTGTGAAACTGGGTCTGGGTGTAAGCGGAGCTCTGGCCAAGAATGATCTCCCGGAGAGGGGGGAGCTGCGAGTTCAGGTAGGTGTCCACGTCCACGCGAACACCGATCAAGCTGAGCAGAATGGTGAACTGGATGAGGCCTTCGGTGAAGTATTTCTTCAGAGAAAGCATTTCTGGTGGAGGAGAAAAGAAAACAGGTGGAGGGTTTGGGAATTTAAAAAAAAAAAAAGAAACAAAAACAAAACAGCGTCAGACGAATTCTCCACACAACAGGTTGGTTGGGTTTGTTTTTCCTCTGCCCCACTTTCAAATAAACAAAATAAAGCAACAACTTTGGCATTCAGGTTCTCGCTAAACAATGGGATAAAAGTTTACAGAACATTCAAGACTTTGGGTTCGGGACGACTTTGTTTTTCTTCTCAAATTCTGGAACTCGCTGGTCGGCCAGCAGAGCGCAATTAAAGATTTAAATCTCGAGAAGCAACAAACCCTCCCCAGAAGACAGCCTCCACCCTCTCTCGCCCTTTCCTCTTCTTCAGAGCTGTTTCGGAACACAGCTACGTAGAAATCCGTGGGACTTACTGTCCAAAAACTCCACATACAGCGACGTCCTCTCGCTCCCCGCAATTCCCCTCGCTCCAGGACGGGGTCTGCTCCCTCCGCCAGCTGCCTGCTCTTTCTTCCCCTCTCCTGGTCCGCGATGCTTCCTGAAGGAGCCTTTTATGAGTCAAAGGTGCCGATCGTGGGAAGGTCCAAATCCTCCTCCGCTACTGGCTGCAATTTCATCAGCAGCTGAAATATAACCAGAGAGCGAAGGCGATAACGCGCCGACGAGGCACCACCCTAAACATTGCACATGGACCTACTACACCGGGAAACGGCGCTTCCCCCACGCGCGGGCCGGTGGAAAGCCGAGGGAATTTCACTGGAAAAGCTGATTTTTCCTGACACAACGCGGGCACAGAAACACGGAGTTACCTTCGGTGACAATATTGTCCATACTTCCCCTCCCTGAGCTATTCTTAGGCCGGTGCGTCAACTTCCCCTCTCTCTGAAGGAATCCAGCTCCGACTCCCTTTCACTCCTTAGCCCAGTTTCCAGCCGCTCTACAAAAACCCGTCAGGGGCTTTCCCACGGGCAGCACAACATCCACCGCCCGCCCGGGGGCTCGCCCCTCCCGCCCCGACCTTCCCGGGCTGCCCGCCCCCAGCCCGGCGGGGGGCGGGGCCCGGGGC